TATGTGAAATGACTGCACGAATGATAAGTTTCGGAAATAAAATGAAGAGTTCTCTTACGGGTTATCTCTAAATGGCAGTCGGCATCCAAAGGCCGTCCTCTCCCTCCTGTATGAACCCGTATTCGTCACCATTTTCTTCAGTCTCCGCGATATGTATCTCTGGATTGTCTTCATAGCCATTAAACTCTTCATTAAATGCCTGATTCATGGCATCAGCCAACGGGTCCACCGCTAGAGGCAAACATAAAATAAATATAACACACAAAATGATATTAAGTTAAAATATTTACCGCCGTTGAAGTGGTTATCATAGCCCACAGCAAACTCTTCGCCCATAAGGCCTGCGATGGCATTCTCGGTCTCCTTCGGAGCCGTATAACTGTTCTTCTGGTGATTGCGTTCCTTAATTTTGAGCAGCAAATCATCGAATAGATCCTTCAGATTTGCCACTTCTCTGCACACTTCGTCGGCACCGACGGCGTGGTGTGTCTTCAGGTGAATCTTCATGGGCTCAAACTTTGTGATCCGTTTGCGACACGGTTTGCATTCAAAGTAACCAAAATCGGGCGAATGTTTCACCAGATGGTCCAATAGTGAGGAGGCGTCTGATATGAAATGAACGGCCAATTTGTAGGCCTTCTGTGCTTTCAGTAATTCAATCGCTTTTTGGGCGCTTTTGGCGGACGAGAAGTCGACGATTGCGAGCGGACGACACGAACCGCTCGTCCTATTGGAGGCCATGATCTTCACGGACAGTGACTGACAGCCGATCCGTCGCAGGAAATTCTTGAGACCCGTTTCGGTCACTTCGGACGGAAAGCCTTCGACGAGTAGCTTATAGTGGGAGCGATCGGTCGCTCGCGACGGCCCGACCGCCGGCAACGCGTGGACCGGCATTTGCGCCGCCGTCTGACCGCTGGAGTAGCTGTTGATCAGCACTGAGTTGTAGTCGTCGGCCATCGGAGTCCAGTCGTCCATCGCTTCCACGTCTGCCATGTCTTCGGCCATCACTTATCGCATCCAAAAAAGTGTTGAAAACTTCGCTAAAGTTTTGTGTGCTTTGCGTTCAATCGCACCACACATACAGTCAACGCCTGTTATAGAGTACTGTAAACCAATTGCGAGACAGTCTATGAGTTGTCAATGACTTGATTGCCAGCAATCGTAGCGTTAACTCCAGTAAAGGCTATCAAATAGTCATTAATAACTGGAATAGACTGTACTTAAAGGGCGCGTAAATGAGTGGCGAACGCAATAAACGTGACTCGAGTTGACTCCACTTTCTATGCATTCATACATAGAGTTAGTGTTGAATACACTTTGAACTTGACGTCAAAAGTACAACGCAGTCAACACATGGCATAACATTCATTGTCGGACTCGTAATAAGTGTTGAACTGATGACACATTTTGGGGCCCAAAAAGTTGTCTCACATTTCAAAACTAAATTCTCCGCAAAAGTGCATCATTTTAGTCGTAGTTAATGAATGAGTGCTACGATTAGACCAATCGTTGTTTCCGTTACAACACTATAACAGTAACTGACGATTAGAGCCAATCATCTGTGGGCTAACAAAGGGATCGTTTGGTTGACTGCGAATACAAACACGAATTTTGTTTCACATTTTCATCACTTTTTAATGTTATTGTCTTTTTGTGAACACATTTTTGAGCCACTCATGAGTTAAAGACAATACACAACACGTGTTCAACAATGACAGACCTGTTGGCCGACGAAGAGCTCGACTTTGACCTCGAAGAAGAGTCGTTTGAAGACGTGGATCAGATCCTGGGATACGATGGCAGTCACGCCGACGACAGCACTCATAATGACCACAACGAGGGCTCACATAATGAGGTGAATGACCGCAACAGCGATGACGACAGAGACGGTGACCACCGATCGGTTGATGAACTCATGACTGACGATGAGTCCGATGGCAACGACGACGGCGTGACTCCCGCACCGGCGCCGCCGCCCGAAGACAGTGATAGTGATAACGATAGTGACCAACACGTGAACGACGGCCACAATAGTGGCGCCGATTCTGTGGATCCGTTGGACAATTTGGAGGGCTTTTTGGGCGCATTTGATGGATCCGTTGAAGACACGGCTCCTTCTGGTCACACATCGGCGCCAATGAAGCCAACGCTCGACAAAGAGAAGGCACCGAAACCTATGGTCGACGACCGACTCTTTCGCAAAGACAAGGCGTCGGCAGAGAAGTCGACACTTGAGAAGACAACGGCCGCCAAGAATATGGCGTCCGCTAAGAACCCGCCCTTTAGGACGCCTTCTATCGACCGATCTGTGACTAAGAAGCCTAACGTTTCGATGAAAGAGTCGACGAATCGCACAGAAAAGCATAAGTCGTCGCAAAATGAAGGGCTAAATGTAGAGAAGTCGAGGCCAACCGCAGAGAAGCCGAGACCCGCTCCGGACATGTCTACGCTTGTCATCATTAAGTCTAAGACTGTGGCAGAGAAGGCGAAAACGTCCGCAAACATGTCAATGCCTATCATTGTTAAACCAAAACCGGGCGTTGAAAAGTCCAAACCAGTTGTAGAAAAGCCCAAACAGAGCGTAGAAAAGACAAAACACGTGTCAGAAAAGCCGAAACCCGTCTCAGAAAAGCCGAAACCTGTCTCAGAAAAGCCGAAACCCGTCTCAGAAAAGCCGAAACCCGTCTCAGAAAAGCCGAAACCGGTCGCAGAGAATCCAAAACCGATCGCTGAAAAGACACAACTAATCGTAGAAAAATTGATACCATCTGTAGATAAGCCGAAACCTGTCCCTCAAAAGCACAGTTCGGTCGTAGAAAACGTGAGACCATTGGGTGCGAGACCGGGACCCGCGTCATCAAAGCTCAAGTTGGCCAATGAGAAGCCGAGACCAGACGTATTGAAAACAAAACAAATACCAGAGGTATTAAAAGCTAAGCCAATGCCAGAGGTATCGAAAGTTAAGCCAACGCCAGAGGTATCGAAAACTAAACCAATACCAGAAGTGTTGAGAGCGAAGCCAATGCCAGAGGTATTGAAAGCGAAGCCAATCTTACCGAAGCCCGTCATTGAGAAACCAAAGCTTGTTATTAAGAGCCCGACTCACGATAGGGTGACTACAGAAAAGTTTAACACACAGTCCACTAAAGAGCCTCACAAACCAATGAACTCGTGGTTATCGATGCCATCGGGAAGTAGAGAGACAAAAGTGAGTAAAACAGGGGTAACGGGTCCGGTGGCGCCTATAGTTAGAGGCAAAACTACTGAAGCAGACATAAAATTCTATGAATCGTTGCGAATCTATTTGAAGACAAAGCGAATCATTGGTTACGAAGAAACCACTTTCAAAGAAGACGCCAAAAATTTTAAAGTTAAACACAATGTGCTGTTCATGAGAGGCAGAGAAGTGATCGAAAGTGAACAACGAATGAGAGATCTGTCCGTTGAGTACCATTTGAACGCAAACGCAAAGTCTTCCAAATCGAGACACAGAGGCGCTAAGGCGACCGCCACTGCTCTCAGAAATAAGTACTTCTGGCCAACCATTGACAACGATGTCAAGGATGTGATCAATCGCTGCATTGTTTGCAATCCGAGAGAATACGCGTTGACAACATTTCAGTTGTGGAAGTATATCGAAATCGGTGTAATCGACTCGATTCTTGTGGTCCGAGACTTGTCTTCGAAGTCATCGATTTTCAATTGCGGCGTTTGTGAAGACTTAAACGCTCGGAAGCTGTGCTATCATTTGCTCAATTTGTTCCAACAGTACGGCATTCCCAATGCTATTCGTGTAGTGTTACCACAATTTCCGCTGCAATTTGTTCAGGAATTAAAGGAATGCTTTCAAAGAGAATTAACCATTTTTATTGAAAGCATACACACTGTGTGCGAAGCGAACGAAGACGCGGAGGAAGTGTTCTCACTTCCAAAGGTGAACATTACAATGGAAACCGGAGACGACAAGTGTCCCGAAAATGATAAACAATTGTTTTCATCGGTTTCTGCCATTAGTGCGAATGAAAACATATCTTATTTTTATATATTTTTGTGTAAGAAATGGTTAATTCCGGACACAGTTTACGACAGTGTCTCTCGAGATATTAATAATTTTGTGAACAAAGTTAGCGATTGGGAGCAACGAATGTCTGCACTCACTCTTCATTTTCAGATTAATGGAACCAATTTGAAGGCCAATGAAGTGGAGGTCGAGCCAGAAGTGAATACACCGAAGGAGAAGAAAGGCCCGAATTGGAGAGAAGTGCAAAGACTTCAGTCAGACATGAAGACATCCAATCCATCCAAACCCAAACGACAGCCAAAACCCAAAGTAGATGACGACTACGAGACGGACGGATCCAGCGATTCGGAAATGGATATCTCAGGTGACGACTCGGATGACCACATCTCCAAAAGACGGGTCAGAGTTCGTCAAAATAGCGATGAATCCAATGATTCACATAAACCAAAGATTGAAGCAAAGAAAACAATTGTCGACACAATGAGGCACTCAATCGATACCATTACTGTTGACGATTCGTCCAATTCTCAGTCCACTTCGTCCCATATCTCTGCTATTAGTTCGACAGCCGATCAGACATCGAATCGCGAGACACCGGAACCATTAGTACCGGAATCTAATGATGTTTTAATCTATGACACGGATGGTATATGTAAGCAGTGTTTTGTCAGTTTAAAACATTCTTCGCAACAATTTATAGACGACGCGATCGCCGGTGACATTGATTTCGACCAACTATTTGCCAAAAGTACTGAAGAAGAAGATAAAGATGCCAAACATAGCGCTGCTATTGAAAGCATTATCTCATTTTTAGACGATTCGGTAAGTGATGACCACTCAAAGGACACCCCATTGGCGGAGGCGTCGAATAAGAAGAGTGAAAAGAAGAGCATTAAAACCAAAGTTTTGAAAAAATCCAAGTCTAGAAAAACTGAATTAAATTTATCTGAAAGTTCGTCTGAAGAGGACGACAGACCCGTCAATGAAATCGTAAGATCATTGTATAGAAATACGCCTAAAACGAGTCATAACTCAACGTCTAAGCAAACGACGAGTTCAATGAAAACTCCGCAAACGGGGAACAAACGTAAGAAGGAATCGGACGACGATTTGAGCTCTGATTATGACAACCAAAGAGTGGCCACGAGTTCGACAAAGTGTAAGACGACTGTTAAACGTGTTAATAAAACTCCAAACACGACAAAGAAGGCGAAAACGGATGCGAAGCCACGGAGACCTAAGGCTCTTTCGGAAGCGTCTGATAGCAGCGCATCGGAAACGGTTGACGAAAGCGCCAAAAGCAGTGCTCAGAACAAAGAGAATGAGACGCTTAAAGAGGTGTCAGTATATCACTGCCCATACTGTGACTTCTCGACCAATGAGAAGCACAATCTTCTGCTCCATTCGGGCAAACATAAGACCGAATCCAAAACGAAACTCTATTGCAGTGTATGTTTTGGTATCTTCTATAATACGGATCGCTTGGAACAGCATATGATAGAACAGCACCCGCTGGACATCAAACACACCATTCTATACGGCTGTTCAGTCAACGAATGCAAAGGAGTTGAATGCGAGTCAATCGCCCAATTGGACCAACACTTGCATCAACACATCGAAACAGTGGATTATCTAAAACCTC